CCGCTACCATATTCTGAGCATTTAAAAAAAGGAAATACTGTAAAATATTATTTAAGATTTCATCATTTTCAAAGATTTACATGGATAATATACTCACCATTTAAAAAAGTAATTTATTGTAAATTTTGCACCATATTTGCTTTAAATAAACTAGTAGGATCTTATAAATGTAACAGCGAAGCAGGCTATTTAGTAAAATATCCTCTTATTTCCTTTTCTAAACTTTTTGTTAAAGATGGAGCACTTATAAAACATGAAAATGCTATATATCATAAAAATTCAGTTGAAGCTTCAAAAGACTTTTTAAAAATGTACGATCGGCCAGAACTAGAAATAATTAATAGATTAGATGATCATAGATTAAAACAAATCAAGGAAAATCGTTCAAGATTATTACCAATCGTTAATACTATTATTACTATGGGTAAACAAAACATACCATTTATAGGTCATAGAGATGACGGAAATTTGCTTGATAAACCTGAAAACTCCAGTATTACGAATGAAGGGAATTTTCGTGCTATTTTGAGAATGCGTGTTAGAGCTGGAGATAACGAGTTAAAAAATCATTTGCAAAACAGTTCACAAACGGCCACTTATATTTCTAAAACTACACAAAATGAGTTGATTGATATTTGTGGGAAAATCATTTCAAATAAAATATTAAAACAAATTTCTGTTAATAAATTATATTCAATAATGTTTGATGAAACCACCGACATATCCCACATTTCCGAATTAAGTTTAGTATTAAGATATTTCAACAAAGATTCAGTCAGAGAAGATTTCATTTCCTTTGTTGATGTCCATCAAGTTAATTTCGAAAATAATGATGTTGAACCGAAAATAACTGGTACTTTGTTGGGAAAAACTGTTGTTAAAATAATGAACCAAAATGGATTGAACTTAGATTACTGTGTTGGTATTTGTACTGATACTTGTAGTGTCATGGCTTCAGAGCAAGCTGGTGCTGTTTCTGAAATAATGAAGCATACAAAGAATGCAGCCAGAGCTCTTTGCCGAAGTCATGCACTAAATTTGGTATTATCTATGTCAGCAAATATTTCAAGTGTTAGAAACTGCTTTGGTACAATTAAAGAAATAATTGCTTTCTTTCATAGTTCAGCCAAAAGAAATTTTGTTCTCAAGCAAAAATTAGGTTCCGAGTTGAGTGGCTTATGTGATACAAGATGGGTAGAACGACACGAATCTTTAATGTTTTTTAATGATAATTTATTACAAATACTACAGGCTTTAGAATGTATATGTACATGGGATGATGTGTCTTCTTCTTCAAAATCACATTGCTTTATTCGTTGCTTAACATCTACTGACTTTATCGTCTCTGTAAAAATTACTAATTTAATTTTTACAATAACACATTCCCTAAGTAAAGCACTCCAAAAACAAAGTTTGAATGTGAACACTGCCACTGAGTTAATTAATAATACTAAACAAATTATACAGAATGAAAGATGCCAAGCAAATATTACATTTAATAGAATTTGGAAAACCATTCTA